GAGAGAAAAATCTGGAAAAATAAGGAACCAAAAGAAAAGAAGGGAGGTGAACTTCGTCTAGGGGGGCCGAGAGTGAAAAGGAGGAAAACAGAGGGGGGAGGCTTCGGTTTCAATGATTGGCGAGGAGAAAATTTTCCAACCATCACAGCCACAATCTCAACTCCCTCCACCGCCTGCCCAAACTCTTCCTCACGCGATCTGCCCGAGCCACCACCAATCCGCATCCGCCGCTGTTGCTGTTCGTCATCGCCATCTTTTGACCCCCGCTGCCGCCGTAGCCGTCGAAGCAGCAGGGGCTTCTACTGCCACTTTCACCAAGCCGTCTACCATCAGCACTTCCATAGCCAAGTCACAACTCAAATATCCCACTGACCAGCAAAGGAAATTTTCGGGCCGCTCTCTCTCTGTTTCGGACTGAGAAGAACACAGAACGAATCTCGACAGTTTGCCGCTGCTGTCACCAGAATCCCCCCACCACTTGCAAATCCTCACCGCAAAAGCTTAGTATGGTTCCTTTTCTTCTTTCCTCTCTTTAATTTTGCTGGCGGATGGGTGAAAAATGAGAGGCAATGACCTGATTGTTTCTTCCTGTTGTTTTTTTAGTAAAACTTTCATCCTTGTGTGACGTTTGTGTATTCATGTGGAACGATATTTTCTGTTATGTGTGAAAAATTTGATTGGGATGCTGCAAATTTTGGGGCCGGTTGTAGTCTCAATTGAGCAACAATCTAGTGAAATTTTAATGCTCCTTTGCTGTTCGATGAAATGCTTGTTTGAAATTTCTAATTGGAAGGTAGTTTCTCTACGTTGGCGGGTGAGGGAATAAATGGTCAGTAAGTTCCAGGCCTGTTTGAGTGATTGAATTTCGTGGGAAAAGTAGAGTTTTGAAGAGTTTTGTTTTCTTAATTTCCTTTTTCATGAACACGATTTAATGACATGAATTCGTTTGGGTTTGAAGTTGAGTTTTTCCGGATATCTTTTCCTTTGTGAGAAAGCTGCGATGGCGGTCAGATGTTGAATTTCATTTGGAGAAGATGACTGGCCTGCATTTTGCTTATGAATAACATCTGGTCGCGGTTTCAGAAGAAAATAGCCTGAGTATTGCGAGGAAGACGAACTGGGTTGGAGAAATGTTATGAACTTTCAATTTGGCCCCTGCCCTTTGGTGAAATCACGTTAAAGCCCACATAACTTCCAGATCTTATTCAATTAAGTCATGATTTAAACATAAATTGACCCCTGGACGTTACTTTGCTTTAATTTCGACCCCAAAGTCTTCATGATTCCTCCAATTAAGTCCCTATGTGGTTGTGATTGAACCCCTCAAGCTTTCTCTTATTTTGCTATAGCCCAAATTTGGAATAATCTAATTTATTTCATTTTTTTTTAAGTTTAACCCACTTTTTTTTACATGTTTTATGTGACTTTTTGGGTAGATTATTTACGGATTTTAGAGTACAATTAGATCTTAATAATTTTGGGTTAAGAATTATGTTTGTTTGGGTCTAACAAATGGTTTTTTTTTACCTTTGGGTTGGATTTTGATATGGTTTAGATAGCCAAAGCCCTTGCATTGATCGGTTGGGCTGGAGTAATGGGCTTGTCTGATTTTTTTTAAGGCTTTTGGTTTGGGTTAGACGGTAGAAGCCCATCGTTTTTGTTGGTTAATTTTGCTGTCTTAAATGATGGATTGGTCCATTCTTTTTGCTCTGATTTTCCGTTGGGCTGGGAGGCTTCGGCCCAAACAAATAAAGGAAATGGTTCAATGGCTTGGTCCATTAAGAAACCAGAAAATGATTTGCAGATCAGTCCCTGAACTTTTCTTTAATTTCACTATGGCCCTACAAACTTTCAATGCTTTCAATTGGGTCCCTAATTTAATTGCAAATAGGTCCCCAAACTTTATTTTTCTTTAATTTTGACCCCAAAACTTTGTTAATGTTTGCAAACAAGTCTTTTATTCTTCTGACTTCTTGAATGTGGGTTGTTTATATGATTCAATGGATTCAATTTCATGATTCATTTTTTATCTTTTGTGATTATTCATTAATTAAAGTGGTACCTTTACCTTTTCTTTTATTTTGGAGGGCAAATAAGTCATTTCACTTTGTTAGGAGCCCCAATTCAAGGGAGGTACATTCTCTATCCTTTATTCTTGACTTTATTTGACCTTATGTGCCTTATGTGACCTTATGTGCTCAATCGCATGCCATGTTGAATGCTTTCATTTTATTTATTTATTTATTCGCTTTATTTGTTTTAATTTAGTATTTTTATTTTATTTTATTTTAGTTCAATTTTTGATCATTTGAAAGGCACTTGCATGCCACAATTGTAATAGTTAGGCTATTATATCATTTCATTTAATCCCTTCCCCTTAGATTGTAGTAGGCTTCCCCCCGAATGTAATAGTTAGGATTTTATTTGCTTTATTTGTTTTGTGTGGTTTGCATGCTATGTGCTATGTGTTACCGTTTTCTTAGGACGTGCATCTAGATATCATGCCTATGTGTTATGTGTCTCATGTGATTTATGTGCTTGTTTGCTTTATTATGCTTTATCTGATTTTCTTAGACTGTAATAAATGCATGTTATCACACTAGTCCAATGCTAGCTGTGATTCCTTTCCCGTCACCACACTAGTCCAACGCTAGTTGTGGTTCTTTGTTCCGATTTCCCACTAGTCCAATGCTAGTGAGGATCCATAGACAAGGGCTAGTCCAATGCTAGACCCTTAGGGACCTCCCTCGTTAGATCATGCTTGTATGATTACATCACACTTCATGCATATTTTTCCATTTTTAGGATTTTTGTCATTTTCACATAATATTTCCTCTAATTAAATATCCCTTACCCTTATGTATATATAACATTTAGATTTGCATCTCATTTAGGAAATTAGGGGATAGATTAGTGCATTTTGCTTGATTAGACTAGAGATTGCCCCTTGGATATGGGATATGGACGAGTTTGGCTTTTCTAACCTTAGCACGCTCGTATTCCCTCTATTAAAGGAAAATTGAGTCACGAACATTAGTCCCCCGTACTCGACATGATGCATTCCTTTAAGACATGTATATTTCTATAATTATTTTATTCTTTTCCTCTTCTTAGAGTCTCATATTTTTGCATTATTCGTGACCTCTCCAAAAAGTCATTATTGGGCATCACAATTAATGTGATTGGCACCACTCAAGTTTTGAAGAGAAATTCTGACCCCTCGATACCCTCCTAGATCTAGGGTATGCATTCATATAGTACATCCAAATGTGATAAATCTTTAGGTTAAAATAAGAAAATCTTTGACTAAATCACGCAACTAGCCTTGGCTAGGTTGAGAGGGTGCCTTGGACCTCGTCCTTGCCTTCCCTCTCATCAAATGTGATTCCCGAACACTTTCTCTGATTTTTGTAGACTTAGGAGTCGTTTAAAAGGGTTTTCTATAATTTTACTCAAAAAATTTATTTTTTAGGTGATTTGGTACACCTTAACTCAATACCAAGTGGCGACTCCAATTTTTATTCAAAACCCTTTTAAACTATTATTTTGGGTCGAATCGTCGCATTTTCAAGTCCCATTTAGACCCATATTTTTCTTCATTTTCTTTGTAAATCAAAATTCATTTTTCAAATCAAAAATTCACTTTTTTTTAATTCATTTATTTTTCTTATAAAAAATGGGGCGCGACAATAAGTATTGGTACCGTCTGCTAGTTGGATTATGATGCTTGTACTTTTTAATGGCCCAAGATTTAGAGATGCATAAATAGTTTTAGCCATTACGTCAATCGACGCCCCTAGATCCAACATTGTTTTCCTAATTGGGGTATCTCCTATTTTACATGAAATTGTGAACATACCTGAGTCCCCACACTTTGGTGGGAGTTTCCTTTGAAGTATAGCAGACACATTTTATCCCACCGCCACTCTTTCGTTACCCCTTACCTTCCTCTTGTGGGTGCACAGATCCTTAAAAAATTTTGCGTATTTTGGTATCTACTTAATGGCATCCAATAAAGGAATATTGATTTCCACTTTCCGGAACACATCCAGAATTTCTTTTTCCTTCTCTACCTTTTTTGTCTTTTCCAACTTGCAAGAAAAAGGAGGTAAATTAGATTTAATTGGAGCTGAAGGAGTAAATGTTACCGTAGGGTCTTCGCGAATGTGCCCTTCTTCTTCAATCTCCTTTTCTATCTCTTCCTCGCTTTTGCTTTTCTGATTTGTCAACTTAGGCCCTTCCACTTTCTTGCCACTTTTCAATGTCATGGCACTTACATTCTTGGAATTTGCCTTGGGTTGCGATGGCAATTTCCTAAAAACATGAAACTCCAGGCGATTAATTGCAGTTGCCATGTGACTTATTTGACTCTCCATATTTTTCATGCCCGATCTAGTTTCCTTTTGGAATTGGGCAATACTTATGGCCAGCTCTTGACAATGTCTGCCAAAGAGTCCCTGAATCTGTAAATGAAGGCTGAGACTTTGCTTGCCATGATTGTTGAAATCTTAGAGGATGATTTCCAGATGAATTTTGTGGCCTGTTCCCGTAGTTGAAGTTGAGATGGTCTCTCCAACCAGGATTGTACGTGTTGGAGTATGGGTTAAACTGCCTACGGAGCGCGGGCGCGCCTCTTGCCATGTTTACTTGTTCGGTTCTATCTTCTTGCAAAATGGGACATGCATCTGTGGGATGGTCCATACTTATACAAACTCCACAGACTTTCGATCGCTGCGCATTCTCTAAAGCTAATTACCGAACAAAAGACATCAACTCCGATAATTGCTGCTAAATGGATGACATCTCTATCTCGTTGATCCAACGGGTAGGGTTACTCTCACGAAAGCCAATTTGCTGAGAAGTTTTTGCCATTGCTTCAATAAGCTCCATGCTTCTCTCGGTGTCCCATTTGTTAGTGCTCCTCCATTTGCAGCTTAATGATACTCCTGTCAGATGATTACAACCCCTCATAGAAGTATTGGATCAATAGTTGCTCAATGATTTGATGTTGGGGGGATCTAGTGTATAACTTATTGAACCTTTCCCAATAATTATATAAAGACTCCCCGGGATATTGTTTGATGCAACATATCTCCTTCCTCAAACTCACAGCTCGGGATACATGGAAGAATTTTTCTAAAAATTTCTTTTTCAACTGGACCCATATTGGGATACTAACCGCGGGTAGGTAGTATAGTCAATCCTTCGCTACATCCTTGAGAGAAAAAGGGAAGGCTCTAAGTTTGATTTGCTTTTCTGTAATCCCAGGAGGTTTCATGTTAGAACATACCATTTTGAACTCCTGGACGTGTTTATGGGGTTCCTCACCAAAGAGACCATGGAACGAGGATAAGAGGTGAATTAACCTTAATTTTAGCTCGAAGGAAGTGTTTTCAGCCAGAGTTGGGAATGTAATGCACAAAGGCTAGTGGGTCAACTCTGAGGCAGCCAGCTCCTTAGTGTTCGGTTGTTGGCCATGCTAATTTCGTCTTCTACTGACTCGTTTGCAGTAGATGACTACTCTTCTTTTCGCCTCTTGGTCTCTTGTTTTCGCCTACACGCTGCCTTCTCAACCTCAAAGTCGTATATCAATTCTCCAGTGCGAGAAGAACAGGGCATAAACTAGCAAAAATATCAAAAATAAACTGAACTACAAAAGAAACAAATAATTCAAGCATCAGTCCCCAATAACAGCGCCAAAAATTGACAGGTTGTCGAACTTGTGCAATAATAGTAATAAAACCTAATTACCATTAAAAGCAGTCAATAATCAATTCTAGATACTGGAACAGGGACTCTAGATGTGCAATGGGTTACTTGATTTATCTTGTTTCCGAAGAGTTTACTTAATCCAATATACCAAAATTAATTAACTAATAAAATTTACTAACTAGTAGTGGCAAGCGGGGTCCTCTCCTCAGGGACTAAGGAAAAGTTCATTTTCTTTTGAATCAAGAGAAACGGGGGGATTTAGGATTCAATGTTACTGAATTGCCAACTAAATAAATTAAATGCAAAAAAAATAATTAATTGAAAGAAATAATTGGGAGAACTCTAACCAAGGGTACACTTCAAAGATGGTTCATGCAACTGATCATCAATTCAAATATAATTTCAACATTTATTAATAGATCGGTTATAGTTAACATACACGCGATAAACAACCAGATTCTCCTTACTTTTTCGATAGTCAAGGTACGATCGTTATATGAGAACTTGTAAAATTCCTTATATTTTTTTTAAAATTTCCTTTAATTTGGAAATTATTACTTTACAATAGCTTTACTACTCATTCACATCCCTAATAGTTACAATTAATCATAAAATCAAGGGTTTCCTCTTTATTTTCATCGTTAAGGTAAACTAGGGTTTTCACGTCTTTTCGTAGTGTGAGTAATCGGTACGAAGTGTGTACTAAATTTAGTGATTACGAGTGAATTAGATGATATTAAATGTGTAAGTAGAAGTAATAATAATAAGTTAGTGAATGGTAAGTAAAAACCCTAGTACGTGCAAGTTAAGGAAAAACGGTGTGAACCGACGTATACCGTTTACTACCGATTGAACACACCACTTGACCACCACTTCATTAATTTAATCTCATTGTTATTAGTGCATAAATATCAGCCCTACTTAGCTCCTAATGGCCGAAAATTTTGACTAATAAAAACCAAGGAAAAGAAAAAATTTTGAGGAATGATCTTGGAGTGACACTTGGAGGTCATCCAACCATTTTTTACCCAAGCCAAGTCTTAGCTTCTTATCCTATTTTGGAGCTCCATTTCTGCCTCATTTTGCTCCATTGTGGCCGAGACTTAAGGGAGAGAAAAGAGAGGAAACTACTTCATTTCAATCTTGAGTTTTAGCTTAGTTTGAGTAAAAATCCAAAAATCAAACCGATTAAACACTTACTTAGGAACCTAGAAAGTTTTGTGTGCTAAAGTTTTATAAGGAAAGGTGGTGGATTTCTCTTGCAAGTATCTTAGTGAGGTATTATGGCTATCCTTCCTATTTCTTTCCTTAATCTTGCTTAAGTTTGTATAGCAACTTATATTCTTGGCTAATGATAGTTGTTTAAGTAGTTTTGATGGTTATGGTGGATTTTTGAGTTACGGTTTGAGTTGTTCAGTTGTGTTTCTTGTTGATTATATAGCATATGATGTTAATAAGTTTAGATAGGTAGTTGGAGTTGTGGTTCAAGACATGAATAAGAAGTTATACCTTGAATGCATTAAATTCCAGTTTTAAGCATTGAACTGCCCTGCTTCTGACCAGCTTCATTCGTCCATTTTAGAGGCCGAATTAGGCTTAGTTCAAAACATGAAAGTTGTAGAAAATGATGTTATATAGCTGCTTGTAAAATTTCAGCTCAATATGAGCATTGTAGCATATGAAATGACTGAAATACTCCTGACTGCCAAATGTTCTTTCTTTCTTTCTTTTTTGGCTCAATCAGATTCCACAAGATGTAATTCCAATCCAATCGAATCCAAGTTCAAGATTTGCAGTCATGATCGAAGGTCCTTTCAAGTTTTCAAGAAATCCGTGGTTTTGTGATCAAGAACTACCAAATCAGATTTGGTGGATTCAAGAACTTCAAGAATCTGGATCAAGAAGCTCAAGATCTTCCCAAATTAGGTTTTGATATCCAAGATTCGCAATGAACAACACAAAGGTTCAAGGTTCAAACAAGATAAGTTCGGCCAGCAACCAAAGAGGCAAATTCTAGCAATGGTTCACGACACAACAAGGTAAGCAATACCCTTCTCTTTTTTTTTTTATTTTACTGGGTTGTTTTGTAACCCCAAATGACACAAGACTCCAACCAGAATAGACCACAATCACGACAAAACTAACAGCAATAACAACTGATGCGAACCCGAATCTCCAAGCTCCCGCTATTGAAGAAACGAATTACACAGGCAGCGAAAGGATCTATCTTGATCAGGCTGTGGACAAAATTGGTGGCAATAACAAGGAAGAACAAATCTGGACAGATTACTACACGCAGCCAACCTAATGCAAGGTGCGACTAGAAACCCTAGTGGCCACACTTGTTTTTTTTTTATTGTTTTACTTGCTAGACAACACAAAGACCCAACGCCAAACACAACAATGTAGATGCAAACCACCAAGTATGAAGGCTAGAGAGTTTGGACAGCAACAAAACAACACAAGATAGATTGCAAACATGTAAGACAGATTCGGACTTGACAAGAAGGAAACCAACGACTCAAGACACAAACCCTAATACGTAGCTACGAATATGGAAGATAAAGAACAGACTCGAAGACAATAAAAAGGGATATACGTGATACCTCTAATTAGCTCTGATGACCAGATGATGTGAACCCGAATCTCCAAGCTCCCGCTCTTGAAGAAACGAATTGCACAGGCAGCGAAAGGATCTATCTTGATCAGGCTGTGGACAAAATTGGCGGATTCTAATCCAATCAAGGACAGCTCGAGATTGATTAGAATGGTAGAAGGTGCCACAATCCAACGTGATCTTGAATTGATAAGCCAAAGTTGAACAAAGGAGACACAACTCACTTTGTATCAAGGAACGTTCCTAAGGAACAAGAAGGAGAAAACTCCCAATTTTTATTCATCATTGTCTCCCCAAGACATGACCCAAGGTAGGCTATTTATAGCCATACAAGTAGAAGACCTAAAGTGCAATGGAAAAGACTAAACCTAAAGCGACATAGGAAAGGCTAAACATGGCGAGTTCCTACATTTTAGGAACCCTAGGTTCGGCTCATTCTAGCTTGCAAGCTGGCCGAATTATTGTTTAAATAAAAAATGACTAAACAAGACTCCAAATTACTAATTAAATGGCAGACTCAAAACTCAAACTAGGAAGGATCAATCATGGTCCTCTTTGAAGTGCTTCACATGGCTTCTCAGCTTGAGCTTGTGGTTCGGGTCCTTTAGGGACTCGAACCTTGTCCAATGGCTCCTTAATTCGTATCATTATGCATTGATTATCGAGAATTGAATGCAGTAACCATTAAGAATAAATATCCTTTGCCTCACATCGATGAGTTGTTTGATCAATTACAAGAGACTGTGGTATTCTCTAAGTTGGATCTTCAACAAGGGTATTATCAATTGAGAATTAGAAAGGAGGATGTGCCAAAAACGGCCTTTAACACTCGATATAGGCATTTCGAGTTTGCGATAATGCCTTTTGGCTTAACCAATGCCCTAGCGGCATTCATGGATCTAATGCATCGAGTGTTTAAACCTTATTTGGATAAGTTTGTGATGGTGCTTATTGATGATATCCTGGTGTATTCGAAAACAAGGGAGGAGCATGAACAACACTTGAGAATAATATTGCAAACCCTAAGAGAGCACAAACTGTTCGCCAAGTTCAACAAGTGTGAATTTTGGTTAGAGAAAGTGACGTTTCTAGACCATATAATTTCAAAGGATGGACTTATTGTGGACCCGGCCAAAGTGAAAGTTGTAGCTAAATGGAAACGGCCAAAGAATTCTACTGAAGTACGAAACTTTTTGGGTCTAGCGGGGTACTACTGCCAGTTTATAAAAAAAATTTTGAGAATTGCGGGACCCCTAACTAACTTGACAAAGAAACAAGGAAAGTACATTTGGGATGTTAAGTGTGAGAATAGTTTCCAAGACCTTAAGAAGCAATTGACCATGGCTCTAGTGTTAGCTTTGTCAAATGGAAAGGATAGCTATACGGTTTATACCGATGCTTCGAAAGGAGAGTTAAGGTGTGTTTTAATACAAAATAGGAATCTGATTGCCTACGCATCTTGAAAGTTAAAGCCTCATGAGTAAAACTATCCAACCCATGACTTAGAACTTGCAGCGGTTGTGTTTGCTTTGAAGAAATGGCAGCATTATTTATACGGGGTGATATTTGAGGTATACAAGGATCATAAGAGTCTTAAATACTTATTTTCTCAAAAAGAGCTAAATTTGAGACAACGTCGGTGGGTGGAGTTTTTAGAAGACTATGATTGTACGATTAATTACCATCCAGGAAAGGCCAACGTTGTAGCAGATTGTCTAAGTCGAAAGGCTCAACTAGCAAATTCAATGGTAGGAGAGTGGAGCTTGTTAGAGGATGTA